ACGTTGGATGTGATTATTAATGTAATAATGGTATTTTTGCAATAAAATTTTCTTGAATTATAGATGTACTTTCTATAATAGATTACAAATTTTGATTTTTTTTTTTTTTTTTTTTGATTTTTTTTTTTACTCCTTGATTTCCATATCCAAAAGATTGCATCTTTAAAGAGGTTAAAACAATGCTTTTTATTATCATTTGAATAGGATGGAAGATAATGGTTTCTTGGTTTGTACTTTCTTTTAAAGATGTGTTGTCTTTGCAATTAAGGTGATGGACTCTTTGGGATGTAATTATTCTTGTTTTTTTCTTATCAAGTTTAAAAGGTGATAGATCTTTATTATAGTGATTGTTATTTTGTAATAAATATATGAAAAATTTAGTTGACAATGCAAGTAATTGATGTAGCAACTCCATATAATCCAATGATACAATTTTTGAAGTATAGCATCAAATAGAATCCAAAAGTAGCAATCAAGCTTCTTAAATTTGAGGATAGAAAGTGATACTAGAACAAAAACTTTACAAATATAGTTGCTGATTCTATTGTCCACTTTCTCCTACTTATAGCCCCACATTATGTCATCTCATTTCTTTAATAGATTTTTGATGTTAAGGATATTATCAATGACCTTAAAAAAGACTATAGCTGGTTCTTCTAAGAAGAAGTTTGTAACCTGTGAATGTGTCCTTTTGGTTTGATTATTGAAGACAAAGATTTAACAAAATATAACTAATTATTATTTAACCATGCTTGAGTTGGTTACTACTTTGTAGTAGTAGTTATTCAAGGAATTTATTGTTGTTGTTGTATTTAATTTGGAAAAGATCTTATACCTAGAATTTTTTTTGTTATGATAGAAAGTACCAAAAATAGCTTGTATAAATACCTTAAAAAGGGATGTGATTTGATGGCTATAATTACTAATGTTTAGGTCACTGGATTTAAAGAAGGGTGTGTTCTTGTATTGAAGATTGCACATTGTTGCTTGTTTTTTCCATATAAATTAGAATTCATCGTTGTATATGGATTAAGAAATATTTTTTGTATTAATATATATATTAAGAAGGATCTCGAGTGAGATGTTATGATGGAGTTGATCATCTTGTCTCTGAAAGTTATAAGAATAGCTAATAATGTTCTTTAGGAGTTTTTTTTATTTATGTTTATTGATGTTGATTCCTAAGATTAAGATATCCTTGAAGTGTGTATTTACATTGCAAATAAAACGGCCTCAAAAATCATTTGTTATATTAGAGATTAAGTGGATTCAGTTTGGAAATGGTATGCTTCATACATTATTGTATAATATGAATTTTTGCTTAAAAATGCATTGGGCTCCTAGTTATAGAAGGTAAATAGGAAACGCAATAACAAGATCCTATCAAGTTTAATAGAATCTTAAATAAATTCTAAGTAATATTTAATATCCTTAATTAAATTTTAACCAATCTAAATAAAATTTAAAATAAATTAAAAATATATATATATATAAAGAAGACATAAGTTAATCTCAAAGAAAAATAATAAAATTTTCTAAAAGAAATATAAAATAATACTCTTAAAAAAAATAATAACCTTAAAGAACTCATGAAAATAAAAATATTGAAAGAAATAATAAAAAATCTTTTAAATATTAAAAAAAAAATCTCAAATGAATCTCAAATAAATCTTAGATAAATCCAAACTAAATCTTAATATGTCATTAATCAAATCCTAATCATATCCTAAATATTAAATAAAATTCTAATAAAATTTTAATCAAATTTTAATTAAATTCTAAAACCTAAACTGATCCTAATGTAATTTTAATGAAATTTTATTCAAAAATCAGATCAAATCTTAGATCAAATCTTAATCAAATCCTAACCAAATCCTGGATCAAATCTTAAAAAATCCTAAGTAAATCTTAATTAATTATTATAGCTATTTTAAAACTTCAATAAATATTAATTAAACTATTGATCTTAACTAAAAATTATTCACATCTCAATCCACAAGCAAGTAATAAATATACAACTTTTGAAGGATATCAATTTACCAATTCAAAATAAAAAGCTCTTAAACCACTTAGATGTTGGCTTCCTTCCTTCTCCAACTTGGATGTCGATATTCTAATATAAATTTCTTCTTGTTGAACAATTCAATTTCTTCAAAAATTGATTGGTGTATAAAATTCTAACTCTAAATTTTTATCACTAATTTTTACTTCAATCAAACTAAAAATCTTTATTGATTGTAAATTTTAATTATCTGAGACCGTAACCTACAAAACCCTCATAACCATCAATTTAACCATTTAATTAATATCAAATTTTATAAACTTGTTTAAGACAAATAAAATAACAAATTTTAAAAATTTCATATATACACATACTATGACACTCTTAAAAACTTCAAAATTGTGAATTTTTTTTATTTTTTAAAATCCAATCCTTCTAAATATATTACTCACTTTGAAAAGCCCTCAAAACCTCAATATGCCTTAAAATCATATATAATAAACTCTCAAAAATTCTCTTACAAATCTCCTCTCAAATTCTACTCTTCAATCAACCAAAGAACCTCAAAGTCATTGTAGGTGCACAATTTTGTGCCTCTGAGTTTGATATTCACCTTGATTCACAACCAATCTTCTTCGGGTATTAATTCTTGATATTTTGAGATAAATTTTGCTAAAATATATTCTTAATTCCTTGCTAAAGTTGTTTATATTAATTTTTTATTTGGCTAATGTATATCCTACAAAGTAAATAGAAGTCTCTTCTACAACTTTCATGCCTTAGATATTGACTCAATCCTAAGAATTGTATCCAAACCAAGTATGAGAGAAAATTGAATGAATCTTTGTTCTCAACCAAAAAAGTTCCAAAAAGTAAAAAGAAATTTCTTACCTACATATTTTTAGGGTCGAGTAGAGGGCATGGTGGATGCCATTTGATGACAAGAAGGTGACTTCAAAGAAGCATTTGCCTACTAGTGAGTAAGCCTCCATCAATCGGTGTAAGTGTAGGGTGATGAGCATCTATTCTTTCAAAGTGGATTGTCCATGAACAATCCACGGGTTTTGCTCCAGATAATTGTGAGCTTGCTTGAGACATAATTCGACTACAAAAAACTAATAGAAAAAAAAATATATATATATATATATATATGTTGGAGTTATGAATCTTGACATTGTGTTGCTAGACCTATTCAAAAACATGTTGCAGCCATTGTTGGATCGCTCTCCCAGCTCTCTATATGTTACTGACGAACTATATGAAGATTTGTAACAAGACCTTTTTATTCATCTATTTCTTTCACCTGTTGGTCTAAGAACTTGCTACTTTTCTAATTGCAAGAACTTTCGAAATTTCTGCTACTGTGATAGTTCTCACTTAAATTCATCTGTCAACATGCTCATAAAATATCGCACATCCTTCTGGTTCTTGCGGCTTTGAATGGAACTCTGCCCACGCGACACAGGTACATGGGAGTGACTGCAATCAAGAGAGATGTGATTGTGCTACTTGACATCAGACTTCTGGACAACGACGATCTTCCTGGCGACCATTGGGCTCTGCACTCACAACCAATTTGAATGCTCCGCAATCTGTTGTGAACAAGATTCTGGACACTTCTGGTAAAGGAGATCGCGCAACGGTCATCACTTTCACTAATTTCTGGAGCAAGGACCGTTCTTTCGCCTGTAAGCATCTATTTAGAGTATTAGTAGTACGGGGCGTGAGAATAAGAAAATTTAGACTATCCACAAAATCTATACCTTTTCATCCCCTTTTCATTGTAAGCACCAACGGCATCCGGTATTCTCGGAGTAGTCGTAATGGTTGTAATTACGTTTCCTGGATTATCTAATTGCGCCTAACAGAAGCACGGGTACATGGAGATGTGTATTCGAAGGAAGCGTAACACTTCACCTCATTCCACATCCATAAAACAGGGCATACAGTGATATGTTAAGATCATTTTTCTTGTTCGAGTTCGTGTTTGTAAAACACATTGTAAATACATAAATGCATTCTGTATCGATGAATCTAGTGACTTAAGCGGACTTACAAAATTCCTCATTGTATTTTGCGTACGAAATTTAGAGAATAGGGCTTAGTGTTAAAAAAACGTGTACAAGTTCGTTATCTTCATAGAAAATATCTACAGACTAATACTGTGATGTTTCGTATTATGGATTTACTTTTCGATAGCAGGACACCGACTTCATATTTGAAATTTCAAAAAAACACGTCCACTCAAATTCATCGACAGAAACTCTTTTGTTGTGTTAGGAATTTTTACCTTATTTTCAAAACAGCACAGTTCCGTAACAGGCTGTTACACAATTTCCTTTCATACTTACAATTAATGATTTCTTTTCGCAAAATCCTTTGCCCGCCAAGGGCTATGGCTAGGGCTATGATTTTTTTTATAAGGATCATAAGCCCTAGCCCTAGCCCTAGCCCTAGCCAGCGGGCCACAGGCTCCGCCGACAAGGGCTGGGGTTATGGGCATTAGAACTCGCCGGACACATCCACAGGGCCCGGACTGTTTTACCGACCCTGCTCCGCCCAGCTCAGCTGGGGCCGGGGCAGGTTGGCAGCCACTTGGATAGACGAACACAGTCCGCCCAAATCTCAGGCTCGGGGTGCATTCGCTCTAGCCATAGGGTGCAGGGCCAATGATCGACACTTAACCATTGAAGTTCAACATGAAGAATAAAATCGCCAGGTAATCGAAACACTGCACATACACTATCTCGGTCGTGTGGCCTGACAGTCCACATTAGTCAGAACGAATGAATGTAGTCGAAACAAGGACTGGGTAAAGAGCAGATCGGATGACGTGATCTACAGTAGCTACATTTTCCGAAGATAAATCGTATCCAATGGGTCAAAACATGGCAGACGCAGTTATAAACTCTTCTGACAACTTATGACAGCGAAAAACTGGCCAGCTGGTGACAGAACACCTAGTTCATAAACGGTGTCCGTAAAAGGAGACGCTATAAACAACAACAATTGGCAAAGGACGAGTATGTATTAGACAAGTGTACAAAGTGAAAATTCTAGTCGACTAATTAGAACCTAAACCACAACAGCCACGCACTCAGTGTAATACTCTAACCCTGCTTAGAAGCCCACCCGCTCTAGTGGGTTCTAACTAAAACGAAGAGAACATGTGTCCTAGCTACTCCCTGAATGAAACGAGGTTCCTTGAAGGATAAATCCTAGACAGAGAAAGCTTCAGCGACAGGCAGAAAAAGCTAGATACAAGACTCTTTGACTAAATCAACCCAGAACGTATGCTCTGATGCCTTAACTTACCTGCATAAGACAACAGAGAAACAGAAACGGAAAATTAGTAGAAGTTTCAGGGGTTAAAGGTATCTTCGAATTCGTATTAGCATGATGGGAAATAGTTGAAAGTCCAAATGTTCCACAACTACATTGACGAGGTGTACTTTGCTCCTAGATAGCATCTTCTCTCAGTAGTGAATAGTAAAATTCGAATTTCTGAAAAGTTAACTACGTTCAGGTAATTCCTTTAAGCCTGCTTCCATATCTCGACATACTTTGATAGCCATAAACCTGGAGAACTGGTGTAATGTAAGCACAATAGCAGAGCAGAAGGCAGGCCAAGTGATGTACAGTTTCATATTTATCTGTATTTCATAAGCGGGAGAATAGGGAAATATTCGCTCAGTCAAACATGAGTTGTAGAGAAGGATAGTATGAACTCACCTTGCTTCATGGGTTGTCGTAGCTCCAGCACTAATTAGCAACCCTGTAAACCATCAAATTGCTGCGGGGTTTCCGGTTATACCAACTCGTTGCTCCCTAGAAATCTGACGAATTCGATCCAACTACGTTTAGGATCAGATAACCTACATAACTTTTAGAACTCGATCGAATAGTACACATCACAATAATTGACTTTCCCAGAATTCTTTCAATAAATTTCATTTAGATGTGATTCTCTGTTGCAGAAAATCTTTCACACTGTTGACCTTGTTCGTAGGACTTGAATTGGATATATCATTTCAAATCGTTAGAATTGTATTTTGATAAGTCTGATGGGATGATGATGATGACGAAGAAGCGCGAAAAACATACCAATCAGCCCCGAGATCAACTACCTCTCAGAATAATAGCTGATAACTGTGTTCGAGGTCAAAACAGCAGGATTAGCTACCTGAGAACCCTGGAGCAATTTGATTGCATGGAGTAACCGCTCAGCTCCAACTTCGTTTCGCACGTGTTGAATGAGTTCTGAGCGAGGAAGTCTCTTGGCCTATCATAAATAAATAAATAAATCTCATCAGTCGGTGTCAAATAATCATGAAGTGTGTCTTACAAATAGTCTTTCGGATGTGTATTGCTACCTGAAACTCCTGATAGGAATTTCTTAAATATTCAAGGCTGTTTGGGTGTAGAAGCGGCGTGAGGAGGAGGAAGAGATCAGGAAATGAGATGGCCGGTGACGTTGGACCCTGTTTGGATGACGAGCAAGTGCCCATCCCATTCTCTGAAACCTGAAATTCCTGCACTAAAACATATTTAGACTTCAAATTCCTCACTCAACTGACTCACACAAAAGTCAACGACTTATGGCGTGCAGTTCGTTCTTCGTGACAAACTAACTTCGAATAAAACTTTCTTAACAAAACCACATGCTACAGGTAGTGTAACCAAACAGATCATGACCATTTTAGGAACTCTAACAAGCTGAAAGGAACCCATATCCTCAAGTCAGTCTAAAATCTGATATCGAGATACTCGACTTTCAGGGGTGAGGCATAAAGTGCGTATCACGAAAGTAATACTTACCTTCCGTGCTGTTAAGTGCCGCTTGATAGAGGCTAAGCGACAAATTGTAGAAGCCTTCTTCCCATGAAACGCTGACATCATTTCTGACCACATAACCCACATCTCAATTCCAATCCATAAACAAGACAAAAATACCAGCAACCAGTCACTTCTCTGCCATAGCAGAGATAGCAAGACTGTACCATAGCCCTTTTGGTGAAAGCTTGAGTGGTATATCCTCAGGTCTGCTTTTACAACGTCCTGAGCTCAGACCCACTCGAGCGGATTGAAAAAGTCCGATAGCCTCTCCCTTGGATTTACCGTGGGCACTTGGCACATACTTATAAAGTTAGGTTCCGAAGATGTTTTTAACCAGAAACATAAGTCGAAAACTTGAATTAAATCTGTTAGAGTGATGATACTTACTATGCCAGAGAGGAGGAAGCTTGAAGCTGACAACATACAACGGAAGAATATGTGTGTTCATGTGGGTGGACCACACGATTAATCTCTTCGGACTAACCAGGTCGTCCACACCTGTGTCATATTTCTCACTACTAGGGTGGAATTGATCAGACCCTTGCTTTACGAGCTCAGAAGTCCCTAAAACCACCCGAACTAAAACTACGTGCTGTTCACCGCTATCGTCATTATCTGCGTACACAGCGCTGCGTTCCCACACACGAAGTAAAACCTCTGATACAAAACTTCATTGAGCTTTTCAGCAGAATCCACCAATTCTTACTCGAACTTGTACCTCACGTCTATCATGGGAGAGAGATGATAGCATGTCAATGCGAGACTCAAGAATATGACGTGTTCACCAGTTTTGCATGTATTCTACAACCGAATCCTGTAAGCACAAGGTTTCACCTGACGTGGGAGCGCTCCTCTGGTGCGAGATAAACTCCTACGCCATAAGCTGAGCCGTTCTTTGGTGTCCTGGGTTGTCCAAATCCGTGAAGGAAAATTCCAGACACACCGGCCTTACTAGTACCATGCCAGGCAAACCGTACATTCGCATCTCCGCGAGTCTTTTCCGTTGATTCCACCAATTTTTGGAAGGCTTGCTGACGTGCTTGCCCTCGAGAACTAGTATCACGATATATATTCGTGACAATAGTCTCGGAACCGAACTTCCCCAGACCTTTGAGAAACATGCTCGTGATGTTTTCATATTCTTCGGTTCCTTCCGGCACAGGTGACACTAACTTCTCAATAAGCGGGTAGCTTGGGGGACACCGATTTCCATCTACCTCGTTGTTTGATTGCATCCTGGGCCCATCAACTTGACCCGACAAACCTGATTCAGCTTCACTATATATATCGTCATCGCACTGTACAACGTCTTTCCCAGACACATGAACATACCCATTGTCAGATTCAAACTCATTATGCAGTGAAGCACATGTAGAATCCGCGTAAATTTCATCTGGCAGCTCGAAATCCTGCATTGATTCATCTGGTGTTCCACCAGAACTGAGCAAGCAACTCGACATAGAGTCCGCGGCACCATCGCACCATGATGTCCGATGTGGGAAGTTTGAGTGTCCGAAATTTGACTTTTTCATGTGCAACACAGACGGAGAACAAGGGAGGTCTTCCGAAGACTGAACAGCTCCGTTGACACATAAACTCGTGCGCACACACGGTGTAGACATACACACCTGAATCAAATTCACCATATTCAGCAGGTACATACAACCTTGCTGTCTAGAGTTTGTATGTTTCCCTTATTGTACGACTACATATCTCTGTATAAACACATGTGCGCGAGGACACAAATAGGATGTATAGAGAAAGACATCAGATGTTTTACATGCAGAATATCAGATCCACAAACAAAACGCACAAAAGAAGAGAAAAAACAACACCATGTTGTCACATACCTCATAAGAAGTATGACATCCAACTCGACCTTTGTGCATGACCAAGTGCGGTGTCCGTAGTCGCTTGCAAAAATCGTCTCCGGTTGAACCATTGTGAGAAAGGCTTCTCTTCTTCGCAGACTGAATCACAAGGGTGAAGAAAACATGAAAAAAAAGGGGGGGGGGAGACGACCATGAGCTAGAAGTTGCTTAGGGTGCTCGCTAAATGCAAAAAATTCTGCTTCACAAACTACTCTTCTATAGCAAGAACTTGTCCCTGGAGCAGGGAAAGGCTCAGAATTTCAGAGCTGCGACCCCTGACAAGAAATCAAAACCCTAGAGTACAGATCAAACATTGATGAAAACTACGAAAAGACTCCATCCATCAAACGCTTGAACTGAAGCTTCAACAATCATAAAACACAACAACCGTTGTGCAAACAGAGCAAAAATCGAATGCCAAACCACACGGCGATGTCAACCTGAATTGAGTGTCCGACAGCATCGCAAGCTGGCGGCGTCTCTGCAACAATATCGCAAGAATGCTCCGCGGCCTTCTCACATGTCACGGTTTCTTCAGCGACACGAGAGCTCTTAAGGGGAGGCGACGGCAGAACATGCGCGTAGTTGATTCCCCCTGCATGCCGGATCATGCCCGCTATCTTTTCCGCCATTACTGTCACTTTTACTTAGTCACTGCTCAAATCTCTCCCACTCTCAAAGTCCCTCGAATGTGCCGCTCTCACCTCTGCCACTGGTGCCGCGCTCGACCACTTTGAAATCGGCCGGTAGGAGCATTACTTGGTGCACAGGCTCTGCAACACCGCCGTGAATACAACAGAGTATTCAAGAATGGAACCGTAGCAGTAGAGACGCAAGCCGTGGCGAGCAGTTATTTTAGAGGGCATGAGGGAGTTACAGATCCATTGAAAGCAATCTCTAAACAGCCCAAGCATATAGCCTACGGCCAATTCCTATGAGCAAGAGTTGCGCATAAGGCACAAGCATAGCGTCGACGGAAGGGTCAAGGTGGCCCAAACGCCAAAACTCTCTCCTCGAGTGGAGAGGCAAGATCCCTAAGCAGGCAAAAATCCTCCAGGAAAGCTAGATAGGCCTACTTCGAAGCCCCTACGAGCCGCAAGACGCTATCAGCACGCACATTCGCCATGGTCATTCCGAAATGCAACGTAAAGCACAGTCCAACTGGACTTCACTCAGTTAGTCCAGACCCTCCAAACACACCTTCACGTAAAGCACAGTCCAACTGGACTTCACTCAGTTAGTCCAGACCCTCCAAACACACCTTCAATCAGCCACGGGAGACACTGCCGACTCCGTGCAATGAAGAGTGGTTGGGGGAGCCAGAGCGAGAGACGGTGGGGGGAGGCATGACCACAAACAACGGAAGGCTGACCTTGCGAACAACGACACAGACAACCTACGAGAAAGGCGAGCCCCAGCGACGGCACACACAAAACGGTCTGCAGTGCTTGGCTTGCACTTCAAGGGGTTGGAGTGGCCAGCAAGTTTTGCCCTCACGCTGAGTTCTGGCTAGCGGTAATGAGCCCCCTCCCCCTATTCTGGCCCAATGAGTATCTCATGCCCGCGGAGCTTGGTCACCCATTCCCGTAGAATTTGATCACCCATGCCCCCCGAACAACCATCTCTCGCCGTATTCTCCCACGCCCGTACGTCTCCCAGCCCGGATATATACGTGTATGGTATTGGTTTAACACGCATTGCTCTTCACTGTGTATGGATTCGCTGACCATCAATTCAGCCGTGATGTGGCTAGTGATGGAATATTATAATAGTAATCACCAGCAAATAATTCATATATATATATATATATATATATGATAAGATTCTGTCTGTGGTTTTCACAATCACAGCTTTCCATGGATAACCCATATATCATCACTTTTGTTGATTTTTTAGAAGATGAAAGACAATTGTATTTATTGAAAGTCACATGTATAATTCCTCTGTATCAAGTAGTCACAAGATATTACGTAGTCAAGTTAATATGTGTGTGGTAAATATTGTCTCAATTAATTTCAGGATTCAATGATTTAGTAATGTATATATATATATATATATGTATATATGCCATCAAAACTAAGAGAGAACTTCATATGGTTTTGAAACAATCCATTGCAAAGAAAAGAGAAAGAACGAGTATATATATTATCAAACATCTCTGGTATAGCTTGAAATAAGTTTCACAGCTTGTTAGAGACAAAGTAAAGTAAAATAATATGTATAACTCGTTTTTATCCTGAACTGCTCGAATGAACAGAAAGTAAGAATGGTCATCCTTCTACCCATCCATCCATTCGTCCATCAAAGCCAGCACGGGGGTGGGGAGGACTGGTCCTGGTCTGATGCTCCTCTCTCCCCTTCCTACTTATAGAGATAGGACCTCGGTCCTGCCACGTCGGATGTAGCCCCGTGAGGTGGCTACCGGGCCGGGCAGGGGCTGGAGTGGTGATCACGCAAGGTCAGGGAGTCAAAGGGATGAGGGGAGAAGAGGAAGCTTCGTAGCTTTGTTGCCGCTCTTGACTCTCGTCAACACTGAATCCTTCCCCTTGTTGTTCCATTGGTCGCATATTCACAGCGTGGATGCTGCTCTCTCTCTTCTGGGGAAACTTTCCTCGGTGGCTGTCATCCACTCAGCTCCCACCGCGTCTTAATTTTTCCTCCCTTTCTTGTCAAACAAGAATATTTCTATCTTCTCACTATTTCTCTTTTTTGAATAATATTGACATATATGTTTTACACTTATTTATGTATTTATTTGCCCCCCCCCCTCCTACTCCTATCTTTATTTACCCATGTTGGAAGATGGAACAAAGTTTGCAACTTTTTAAGTTGTGGGACACAAACATGACTAGTTGGATAGTGAGTGACGACCTCTTGACTTGTGTCTAAGGAAGATGAATGTTTGTTGTGTGTGTGTTTATCAGAGTGAAGAATTTGGTCAAGTTTGAATTCATTTTTCATATCCTCTGATGTTGATGGTTCATTAGTAAAAATCCAAGTGAACACATTTATCTTGACAGAGGAGTTGTTGTGAGGAAGTTAGAAGTGTACAAAGCAAAATGTTAGAAATAAGAAATTGAAACTAATAACATTGGTGTGGGAGATATAAATGACATTCTCCTCCTACATTATTTTCTTACAAAAAAAATATGAGCTTACCATGGTTGTGATTCAGCCAACTTGTACACGAAACTAAATTGGTATCACCAATTTGATAATTTTTTAATTAAAAGCATGAAAGCAGTGTTGTTTATAGATTCATAATTTAAAGATTTGCACCTTGTATATGAATTGTGCTTTCATGCACCAAATTTGCAAAGATTTGATTGTTTATACTATTTTTGAATTCTTCGACCAAGTTTTGTTTTTGGGTTCATTTCTATTTAAAATTATTCATTCAAGTAATTATCATTTTTTTTATGCAATAGAATACACTATTTTTTTACTTTTAATTAGACTTGCTTCCTTTTCAGTTTTCTGTTGTTGTTTATTATATTATCAGGTTGTAACTGTGTATTTTATTATTAAGTTGCAGTAGAATATGCATTACATATAAAGAATAAAGCTTGCATCATACTTGAACAAAAGTAAGACTCTAGGAATGTTCAAACAGGTTATATATATATATATATATATATATATAAATATAGTTGCATTCATATTTACCAAGTCGTTAGTAAATCTAATATTTCTAGGTGAATTAGAGGGTCTAGAAATTTCAAATGTTCAGAATTTAACTTTCTCACTTTGAATCTTGAGTGTTTGAAATCTAATCTGTTCAAATGTGGATGTAAATAACTCTAATGATGTAATAGCAGGTGAATCTTCCGAAGCACCTATTTTGGAACATCCATGTTATCAATAAGTATCTGAAAATGGCAAATACACATTTCACAAGTGTCCATATAGTAATCTAAAGAAACATGTTTAGTTACTTTTTTTCTTTTTTACTTTTTTTGAATTATCATACTGTGTATACTAGAGAGAGAGAAAACCCAAAAAATGAAAAATGATTATTTTATTTTATTTTATTTTTTTCACAAGTATACTAATTGTCACTTCCCACCTCCTTTGAACCTTCCACTTGATTCATTACCAACCAACCTAGCTTTTACCTTATTTACAGCTCATCCTGAATCCATTCACAATTTTACCAGTTTGAAGGCAACAATACATAGAGTGTTCACTGTATAGGCCCAAGTGCATTCTCCCCTTTGCCAGTCATTGTCCTCTCAACCAGCATTGAAAGTCTCTGTTGTTCACATGTGAATTGGTGGAATCTGACCAAACAATCACAACTGCCAAGTAGTTTTATTTATTTATTTTTTATCATTGCCAGTTTTTGAATGTTTTTTTTCTTTCAAGTACACATATTCACAAGTATACATGAATATTTGAGGTCTTTCAAATATTGGTGAAGTTCTTCCTTTCTTATAATTAGTTGTAAACAACATTAAAGAAATACATAAAAAGAAGCTTGACAGTGTAATTTTAAATTCTCTAATTTATGATAATAATATTTTGGATGGAGCTTATGTTGTAAAAGGTAATCTTGGTTTAAGAGAAATCCTTTCAAATCAATCAAATCAATCAGAATGAATATATATATATATATTTGAATCAAATTTAATGATAATCATACCACATGATACACAGTTTGTTTTATTTTTGTTATTTCTTCTCTTATCATTATTTGGTTATAAAATCTATATATTTTTAAAAATTTTGAAATTGGTAAACATCAATGCTCTTTTGTTAAAATATATTATAACTACCCTACTTACATTTACAGTTTGACTGTTTATCAGTTACATGGTTCATTGTTTCCATAATCCATCCAGCAAATTAAGTGTGTCATTTTATTTTATTTTATTTTAAAAAAATATTTCATTTCATATTAAAATATATCCAACTTTTAAATTTAAAATAAGATTTTTTTTTTATCTTGTTTTCCTTTCTCTAAATAAAAACCAACCCCATCATTTTTATTTATTAATTCATTTTTTTTGTTTTATCCACTAAATTTATAAAAAATAAAATCATTCAATTTCGCCACACCAACAATTCCATCATTTTTTAAAATTTTAAAATGCAACTAAAAGCTTAAATAATGCATGATATATTGTTAAATATTATCCTATCTCAAATGGTATTTTCCGAATTCTATCTAAAGTATGAACTAAAATGTAATCAAACAATAAAATAGTTTAGATGATGAAATATTTATAAATGATTACAAATCCAAATGAAATCAATAGGATTAAATTAATTAAGAATTTATGAATGACAAAGAATAAGTATTTAGATACCTGGTTCTATTTAAGACAAGGTTACAGTTGAGGCTTCAATGTTTATTATGAAAATGCAACATTCTAACAACTTTAAAATGCCAAAAACTCTTGTCAAGCATTTGATAGCATTAACATTATGAGGCATCTCATACATGGTGTTGGCATTTATGATGGCAAATTGGATCACAACTATTTCTAATCGAGCAATGACCAAGGAATACAAAGTAAGATGCTACTCATTTACTTGCTTCAGAAGTTGCAATGTTTTTAGAGGTAGCTAAACATATAAACTGTATTGACTAGTTCATGGAAATTACTATTACTGTGGCTACAAAACTTTGATGTCATTTTTACTTTACAGAGAGTTGAGATCTTTAGTGCACAAGTCATGACAACTGGTTGATTTGTGCATAATTACAACAGAGTTTAATAAAGCAATGTTGGAGTTTAGAAGTCAATTTGGTACTGAAGTTCTTGGTGAGATATAAAACCAACATGATATGTTTTATAAGATTGATCTAAAGAAGTTGTATATTACATGAAGGTAAATTTTCTGGGTGAAAACCAGAACATTTAGCTTCAAATATATATATATATATATTTATGAACAAAAATGAAGGATTTTTAACAATTTACAAGGATACACACTTAGTTCACTTGACAAAGCACACAATTGTTGACAATGTTATCATTAATTAACAACATGCAACTGCAATAAATTGGAGGTGTCACCATTTAGTTGTCTTGAACTACCAAGCCATCATGAAGCTAAATAAGAGAAATATTCACATGCCAAGTTTGATGAACTTTGGTGGTAAATTAATTGGTGGTATGGTTGCACCATAATTCTTTGTCACTAGATTGAGCATTTTCCCTAAAACACTTTAAAGTTGAGGCTTACATCAAGTATTTAGTTGTATTAGATATTTTTTATAAGATGTTAAAAGCATGAATATGCTTTAACAATAAAACTTATTACTTATTGCATGGAGGTTTGTTTTGTTTTTTTTCCTGTTTAGATTTAAAATTTAAAAATTTCAGGCTATTCTATTGTCACTGATGTATAATTGAATAATTCAAAGATTTTTCTTGTGATTTTGAAGCATTATTAATATTTTTTTGAATGTTAATTATTGAGAAAGAAAAGAGTCGAAATAAAAATTAATACAAATTCATATTGATAGAATTTTTGGATTTTTTTTAAAGATTTTAATACAAAATAAAATTTTAGTACAAAAAGTTTTTCTTATAGGTAAGTACAAGTATAATTTTAAAAAGATAATACAAAGAAAGATAAACAAAGTTTAAGTTCTTTTTTGTTGTATATGAAAAAGATTATCCATGTATTGCTGTATTATCTTTGCATATATTTTATATTCACAAATATAGTATCTTGAGTTATTATTGGAAAAAATATAAAAAACTGGCTTAATAAATTTTTGATTTCCAAAATAGTCGTTGTGATAGGATTGTGAAGTCTTTGTAACATATAGATTTATTGAATTTTAAGAATTTTATGTGCATTGGTGTGCTTGAGATTTTATCAAGCCTAACATATACAATTCCAAATTTTAATTCTCAATTTCGTTCTCAAAAAATATATTATATTTTTGAATCCTACAGTTTGTTTATTTTTCATCTCATTATTCTGTGGAAATTTTAACGTAGAAACAAAACGTATAAAAGAAAACAACAAGGTCTGCAATTAAAATTCTTAATTTCTAATCCTTTTTATATTTACAAAAAAATAAGCATTAATAAGAATAGGAAAAATATTGAAAAAAAGTCAGACAATTCCCATCACAAGGATTATTTTGGAGATTGAAAAATCGTCAGACCTATATTTAATTTTTTCCATAGTTATTATTGTTCATTGGTATTTATGATAAATAATGGTTTACATTGCGTCGTTCACTCATGTGAGCAAGAAGCCCCTCTTCCGTGTGTTGACCCCATAACCATAGGGCAATGAGGGTGAGGATGCAGAAAGACGGGTCCTATCACCGAACCAATCCCCTTCCCTAACCATTCCTCCACAAGACAGCCACATGTCGGATGATATCTTGACATATGAGGATGAAGAGTTAAGATAATTCATCCTTTCACTGATTCCATTAAACCAACGAACGCGTTGATACTTGTTACCGTTGTCCGCGCGGACACCTTAACTTTTCGTTCAAAAGAACGTGTGAAAGAGGTTCGTTCGTTGATTCGGATGACAGTTGCATGGAGGGCAGGATTTGCCTTAACGAGAGAATCTTACGTTCGAGAGAACCAACGAAGTAGTTCGTTCGTCGGATCGACGGACAGCTTGTCAGGGGATGGTTGGACTGGAGTGAGGGTTTGACTGGCCTTATCACTGTTTTTGAATGGAGAGTAATGTGTGTCATGGATGCAGATGCTTGATGCGTTGCGGTGTTTGATGAGGGAGCGGATGCTCTCAGGTTCATGAAGAAGGCCTGGCCGTGTGGAATCTCGGGAAGTGATTATAGTTCTGGATGTGGCGGAGGTGAATTTCATTAGAAATACTCCGTTAAATTGTGTTTGATGTCGTGTACCACGTTTTTCTGGTGAAAGACTTTGAGAGACCTCATGCCTATTTTATTAGAAAAGTTGGCTTGGTTGTGGAAGTCTGGCTTGGCTACGGAGATTGCAGTCTGCTTCAACTTATGTCATCCTTGACTGACGAATCGGTAGAAACTTCGATTTGCTGAGTAAACTTCGATTTGAGATTGCAGCCGGTGCGAGCGATAGGTAGCTAGCGTTCTTGTCAAGACTCTTCGTAGTTTTCTGTCCTTTTTTCTTTTTAATCATTGTTGGTTCAATGTGAGTAAAGGCGTGCTTATCTTTCAACGTTTCTTGGATGGTGTCACATTCACACTTTCAGCTGCCGGTCAGCGATCGAATTATCAGTTTGAGTGAATATTATGCACAACCACATTGAGTTGACGGATGTCCTAATGTGTTCATGTCAAACATCTGTTGTAGGGATGAATATGTGGATTGTTTCCAACGAAGCGAGAACAATAATCAGCTTACTGCAAATATTACTGGAAGGCTCATTACATTCCAGAAGAGCTAATGAGCTGTCCAGTAAATTGATGGCTCAATGAAACGTCTCATACGAGTACTAGCAATGTGGATGTCTAATGAAGAAAAATGAAGCTTTAGTGTTAATGCGTTTTAGTTTAAATTGTGAATCAAGAGTCACGTCCACCTTGAGTAACGCAGATGACGGATGTGTTTTAGATGGAAACATAACAGGCTACATGCATTTTTTGATTTTCCCCTCAGAGGCAGCTCTGAGTAGGGGATTTTGAAGTTGGTTAAGTCAAAAACCAAGAAGGCGAGGTTTTCCAATGTTCCTTAAGCCAGGGAAGTGTCATAAGCCATGTAAACATGGTGATATAAGGGATTCAGAGGGACTGCACAATATTTTTTTCACGAAATGCATGGTAAGGATATTCTTTGTGATAGAGTACTGAAAGTAAGGAAGTTTCTGAGATGGCCTTATGGTCATAATTTCCACCATTTGTCCGTAAGTCCTCTTAAACGGGAAAACAGAGTGAGAGTAATATCAATGCTGTAACTGAAGGTCAACTTGAGAAAGTTCACAGCATTTTTGTCCTAGAAATGAACTTCAATAACTGGAAAGCATTGTATCGGTCTGTATTGGATCTACGACGTTGTGAGCAACGCTTGATAGCATGGAGATTTTCACAAGGACTTTTCTTTATCATATAAGTTTGGTCCGTAGTGCAGAGGTTGATTCCTACTCTGCTAAATCGACGTCTGGGAATGTTCGCTGCTTATTCAATTTACTGAGCAGGTCGATTAATTCACAACTGAATTTTTTTGCAGCAAACGACTCCAGTTTGCAGAAGTCTACAATCCAAAATGAACGAACTGCGTCGAACAGGGGATGTCTGATCAGCTGGCTGGTTGTTGCGTTGAAGCTGGCGGACAAGTTGTACAGAATGCAACTCCTGGAACTCATTCACCAACAGATTTTAGCTGTACACGGTGTGCTACCTTTGTGGAGGGCTAGGGCATTACTGTTTCGACAATTCCCATAAGAGCGCGTGTCGGTAGGCGGGTACTGCAACGTTGCCGAACATCTGGTAGCTCTTACGATGCATATAAATTGTACTGAAGAGCAGTTGTGCGCTCATCCGAAGTTACTGTTCATACATCTGCTACTCGTCTGGTAAGTTGATTTTTTAGCAACCATGATGGCCTTTGAAGCAGTGAATCAGTAATATAAGCGGTGAGGTGCCAGATACTCTGTTGTCAAGATTACTTACAAATTTAGAATGTACAGCTAATGACAGCTCAAGAGTTTGAAGATTCTCTACGTCTACTGGTTTACAAGCGTACATGTTTACTTAGGAACTCGCAAACAATAATAATATAGTGGGAGGATGTACAGGAATGAAGATTTTACTTCCCCGATTGCCGAGTAATTCCTTGAATGCGTTGCATGAATGCCTCATGTGTCTACAATCTCCAGGTTTTTGGTATCCTGCACAATGTACGCCATGCTGAAGATAGCGAGTGACGCGGATCTCCACACAATATTCAACTTCTTCTGGTTTATGGCTTTGCTACATAATTCCGTCATTGAAGGTATGAAAATCTGTATCATAAGACCCTGATACTCGCTCTATTGGTACAAGCAAATCCTTCTTTACTTAGAGCACCACAGACATCTTCACTAGCCTGTGTTAAGGGTCCACATGTTGCAACTAGGTTTGACCTGCTTGGAAATTCACGATACTAGATGCAAGTGATTGCGAAGCAATTGGCAAGATCCTCCAACATTTACCAACAACATGTAAAAATCTTGTTACTGTTGCCTTGGAAAGATCAACAACGTTGGTTGTACCAGTATTGTAACAATTTTTTGGGTCCACTTATTGTTGTCAATGTAGTTTTGTATACGTGAGCAATAAAAAAAATAAATGTACCGATACATAATGATGTAAATGAGATTATTCTATCATGTAAATGTTGTTCAGTGTTTTAATTCTAAAATTCAATGTTTTATAGAAATAAGTGAAAGAACATAAGTGAAAGAACATTTATTTATTTACAAAATTTAGACATTTATTAAGTCATAAGTTGCCATTTTGGACATTAATTTATATATTTTTACTCATTGAACGTTTCTCTTGAATTAGGTTGATATCATATTAATTCATATTTTACTATTTTTTAATAGTTATTAAAAATATATAACAAATCATCTTTGCTAGATATTTGTGTTGGTAGAATACTCAATAATTAAGATTTCTTTATATTCCTATTAAATTGATTTCATATATATATATATATATATTAGTAAAAAAATATTTTAAAAATAAAATTACATATATTTATATTAGTATATTTATTTTATTTTTATATTAAAATATATAATAACTATATTTTTAAGTGATTTGTTTTTTTTTGCAATGTAAGTTATAACACTAACTATCTCAAAGACATTATAATAATAAATATTTTTTTATGAAAAATGTTAAAATGACCCATCCATTTACTAAACTTATCCATCCAATTATGGAGAACAAAGAGAGTTGAGATGAGAGTTGGATTGAGAGTTGGAAACAACAAAAAGAGAAGGAAGGGATGGGAGGAAGTTGGAATAAAGAAGGCTAGGAATATAAGGAATAGGAGACTAGAAATGAGACGAGGGCTATCATTGTAATGATGGTTCATGGAGATGGTCCATTTTTCTAATGATAGTTACAATAGAATAGGTTGATTTAGTAAATGGATGGGTCATTTTAACATTTGTCCTTTTATAAATATGCTGATAATATTATATGTTCTTAGAATAATACAAAAAACAACAACAAACACCATTAAATGCAAGCAAGAATAAATAAAAGAGGCACATCTCATCAAATATAGCAAGAGTTCTTCACAACACAATCATGAATGTTAAATTACATATTAGATATAAAATAGTTATATTAGAGTTTATATGAATCTTAATAATAACAACCATAAAATAAAATAAACGATAAGTCTATATTCAAAATTTTGATTAAGAACTCATATATAAGGCATTTATAATAGCTTTAATTAATAAAACATTGTTTTAAAAGGTTTATCTTTTAAAAAGAAAAATTAAAAAAACTTACTAACACTTAAAAAAATATAAGGTTCTATTTTATTATTATTATAATTTATAATTTATAAATGCATTATGTTTGTTTTAAGATAATTCCTTTCAACACTTCATATTAGAAGTTTTCAAAAACTTTGCAATTTTAACATCGAACACTCTTCAAAGAAAAAAATATCTTAGAATATTATCAACCAAATTATTTAAATAAATTATTAAACTTATGAGAATCCAAAACTATTTCAAATACCTTAAAAGTGCAATAAAAGTTATAAAAAATAAAATACAAATATTATATTTATATAATCTAATTTATTAACTTTATTGAGGTTCAAACAAAGAAAATCAAATAATTAAAGCAAAACTCCTAAATAAAAATTAGACCATTGTTAGATAGTTAGTTATAATATTATTTTTTGTATAGTTTTTAAAGTATAACTTAGAATTTTAAAAAGATACAAAAATATGATTAAAGATTTGAAACAAATTTGTTCAAATAATTTTGATATATTTAAACTATTTGTATCAATTAAAAAAAAATTAAAGATGATCAGAGTAGATGTTTTGAAAAGTAATGCCCTTAGTATACAAATATTTAGAATAAGGCTCATTTAAGATATGTGATACTTACATTTAAAAGAAAATTAAAGTACAAAATTGTTATTAAGTTTTTAAAATTAGGATAAAATAACTTGCAATTCCAAGACAAGTATTAGCGTGGTTTGGTTCAAATTGTGTAGACTTAAAAATCAAACCAAACTCCACAATTTAGATTGATTTTTGTTTTTGTTTTTGTTTGTTTTTTATTTTTATTTTTTTGATTTAGCTTAAGATTAAATTAGTTTAAAGGGTGTCCAAACTAATTCCAAAACTAGTTTGAAGCTTGCAAGTTTTATTATGAGATGATGTAAATGGATATGTCAATTTCGAATTATGAGATAGTAAATTTTTAACAATTTAGATTATGAAATCAATAACATGTATTATTTACATAATTAGAAAGAATAATGACATGCATAGTAGCAAACTTGGTTTCACAAGTTTGATTTGATTTAATTTGGTTTCACCTTGTGTTATTGATTTAATTTGGTTTCATCTAATTTAAAGTTTTTTAAAGCCAAATTACAAGAATTCTTACTCTAAAATATCATAAAGTATAAAATTTTGACCAATAAATATTTGCTTTATAGCAAAGACCTAAAATCTTAAGTTGTAACAATTAATTTAAACTATAGAACAACAAAGACAACAAAAATGACCATGTTGTATCTTTTTAAATCTTAGTTAAGTGTGCTAAAAACAAATATATTAATTAATTTAAGAATACCATTAACAAAAATTAAAACATTTATAATATATGCGAAATTAAATACATTTAAAAAATATACTTGCATTAACATCTCAAATTGTTTTAAAAAATAAATAAAATTATGCGTCCAATTATATATATATATATATATATATATATAGATAGATAGATAGAGTTGTCAAATTCAAGGTCTTCAAATATCACTGATTTCTCTATTAATCTTTTTTTGGTCTTATTATGGATTTAAGATTTGATCTTATTGTTTTTTTAAAAAATCTTCAGATACAACTTAGAACAATATAATATCAAATATATTAAGCTTTATACTAAAATAAAAGTTTATTGTAATGAAAATAAATAAAATAAAATAAGACAAAATAAAAGTAGATTTTAATAATATTAGACTATTCAAAAGATTTTAAAATAATGTACCATAATCTTACACAACTTTAATTATAAATAGATATTGAAAGATCTATGACTAAGCATGATACATTATCAAATCATTTTCAAAAAAAAAGTTTTAAAATTAAAATATATAAAAATATAATATTTTTTGATGAAAAATTGTTTATATCTATATATATACAAATGTATAAAATGACAAAATCAGCAAATTGTTTACTGTAACCTTATTACAAAATTTGATAGAAATTAGAAGAAACCATGTGATACAACTTCGTTGAATATGACAAAACATAATATTTCAAAAATTAAAAATGACTTCAAAAAATTCTTGAAAATCACACAAACATGTCTATTAAATTATTAAAATATAACTAAAGATTCTAAAAAAGATAAAAGTTTATATGATTGAACTCCTCTTCTACCAAAGGTCCATATCTCCTATACTAATCCAAAACCTTCACATGGAGGTTTTGAGGCCTCATGTGACGAGCGAACAAATAAGTATACAAATAAATTCTTTGAGCTGAACACAGTGGACTCTTTTGTGAAATCCCATACGTAACACACATTCAAGCAACCTTGAACCCGTGATGAGGGATCTCTTTGGGAGCGCAAAAAAGTGCTTCCCAAATCGAAGGACGAATTCTTCATCGCTGTCGGATGACTTCCGAATGACTACCCTCCCCTCATTCTTGACCACGACGCAAATGTCCCAGCATTTGCAATAGAACCCAAAATCCAGACAGTCCCGTATCCAGGCGCTCTAAATGATGTCATCCTGCAACACTGTTAACACCATGTGCCTCCCATGCCTTGGAGGAATTTCATTGTTTCAACCTCACACATTCCTTCGCATGCTACGTACTGTGGCCAACTCCAAAGCTAATCAAATCTGAAAATTAAGGATTTGTAAACATCATTGTACTGTGTTCTTAAAAGAAATTGAAAGACGCTTTTCCTTCTATCCGCATGTGACCATTTACAGAATCAAAAATTCGCATATCTACATTGTTGCGACTGCTCTCAGCAATAATTAGCCTGCTTCTGTGAAAAGACTGAGAAAATCTGCACAAAAAATCCGAAGATTCGCCTACCATGAATTTTGCCTCTACAAGTTTGTACACCACATGAGTTCTCCATTCCAGAACATTATGTACAGGTTCTGAAGCGATTTACGATTAAAGAGGAACATATCCCAATAGAGCTGTTTGCGGACAATTATCATTGATTGTATATGGTACTATGCATTAGAAACTCGGCACTCTATTGGTTTTTGTCTTTACAAAGATCAAGAGGTACGTTCGAAGTTTGAAAGAAGTAGTAATAGAAATGCAATTCTAGTAAAGGTACAGTGTAAAGAAAAGGACAAGTGGTGACATCACAGAATGACCAATTTTTTATGTCATACCGGAAGCTTCTACTTCTGATCACTTACAGAAGTGGGATTACTCTCCACAGGTTCTGCTTTCCAAACAATGTCTTTGAGACCTTTCGAAAGATTTTTGTAGAACTGCAACAGCACGACCAGAAACACAGATTGAGCATACTGCAATTGAAAAAAACAACAACGGCTAAACTTATAATCATGTACAACACCAACAGTATTAGAAATGAGATATTTCCAAGGAACTGCACAAGCATACGAGTAAGAATTCCCTGGACAGGACCTACAAATGAAAAGTAGTTGCAATAGTTGCAATAGTTGACTCTTACATGGTTGTACTCCAACGTATCACCACTGTCTTTTTGTAATTCAACCATGAAAAGAGAGGGTGTCACCTCGAACACCTCAGTTGACACTGAAAGATACCCTTTCCTGCCCAACTTATCACCTTGCAATTTCATTTTGTAATCTTTCTTTTGAATATTGAAGCCCAAGGGCTTCGCAGCATCTTCAATAGTGCTGAGGATTTCTTTGGCAGGTTTCTTGCTTGTAAATCGCGTCTCCTTCTTATCAGGTATCTAAGGATCAAAGTCACTAGACAAGGTTAGGTGATGTTTGAATCAAGTCCAGTCGAAGGACTTTATGCACTAATTCCCTGCTTTTGCACACCCAACGTAAAGCTCGTTTAGCCGAGATCAGTTCTGTGTCAACCATCAGTAATTTTCCAATCGCTTGATTTAATAGTAAGGCAATCCATGACTACATGGTTGAATTAAAGTTGCACAAAATACCTCCTTAGTCTCAAACAGACTCGAAAGATTGAGGCCTTGAGAGAGAGAGATGAGTTCGAAGGCGTTCATCGCAACAGGCTTTGTTTCTTTCTTCTCTATTATCATATGCTCCTGAATTTAGGTAGATAAGTATCAAAATCAATGAATTTAATACAGCACAAGTTAATGCCAAGATACACACCACTTTCACAACTCCCATTGGGCAAAGCACAAGCTTCAGCTTCGTCCAAGACCAGGAAAGAATAAAGATGCTATCCGCCTTACTGTTGATTCGTTGAAGATGGAATCCAAATCATCAAGACTGACGTTAGCTTCTCTATCAAACTTGGCTGGATTATATCCTTTCTTGAACCAGTCATTTTCATGGATTTGAGCTGCTGTTATGCGCTGCAAACCATTTCCATATAGACGGAAACATGATTCAGAAAACAGAATTGCTCCTAAAAAAATAAAATATTCTCAAAAATTACTAAAAAACAAACTCCCGATGAGGTGCAGGAGAAGAGCTACACCGAAAGCCGTGGGAACAAAATAACCTGTTACTTACAGTTCTAGGATTGGGGTCCAATATCCTTGAAATTAATTTCCGGGCACCTGATGAAAACCAGGAAGGCCATGAAAATTGGGCTCGATATATCTGTAGTCAAAAAAAAAAAAAAACAAAAAAACAAAAACAAAAAAAAAGATAAAGAAAAAAAGACAGAAGACTGACAGATTGAAAATAGCATCCACAAATTCAGTGAACAAGATTATACAGCAAATAGCTTTCAAACTCGCAGATAAACCCAGAACGTTAACAATAAAAAGAGTACCTTCTTGTATAAAGCCAGTATCGTAGGCTCTTCAAAAGGTAAGTAGCCAGCCATCAGCACGTACAATATAACACCACACGACCACATGTCAGCGGTAGCTCCTGAATAGCCCTTATCCATGATTACCTCTGGAGCCACATAGTTGGGTGTCCCGCAAGTCGTGTGAAGCAACCCATCCTCCTGCACAGCACAAATTTAAGTTAAGTTTCACTCTATTTAGTATAAGTCAAGTGTCTAATTACGTACATAAGTAAATGTTTTGGTGAAAACATTTATAAGAATGTCGCGTTGAGTTTTAGGCAGAAAAAACTTGGTCTTACCCTAAATTGTTGAGGTAACGCACTTAGACCAAAGTCTGAAATCTTCAAGTTACCTTCGGCATCTAGAAGCAGATTCTCAGGCTGCAAACACTTCAAATAATTTTTTTTAACATAACTGCAACTAATAACAATGGCAATGGTATTCATTCTTTAATCGACATTCTTCAAAGAGTGTTTTCATGAATACACGCAAAACACAAGAACTAAGTTTTGATGTGACAACTAATATAAAGATGCGATGCTGGATACAATTACCTTCAAATCTCTATGAAAAACTTGCCGACTATGACAGTAATCAACTGCATCGATGAGCTGGTGGAAGTACTTCCTAGCCTCGGTCTCTGACAATCTCCCTTGTTTGGCCTGGAATCAGCCATACGATAACACATAGGTGAGAAAATAAAATACTTCGAAATGCTCCCAGAATGAAGGTGAGACTGCTTTACTGCTGCTAAAAATCATCGACACCCTTGCTTAAAAATGAACAAAGAAACCAGCTACAGACAATAACATTCCTTGCCAACTTTCACCAACTAGAAAACTTACGATCTTGTTGAAGAGCTCGCCACCTGTGACATACTCCAGCACAATGTAGATCTTTGTCCTGCTCGCCATCACCTGCAGAGAAAACACTTCATTAGGCCCTAATATCCAAAAACGTGGTTGATGACATTGATGACAATCAAGAAAAGCAAAATGTAAAAAGATCTAACCTCCAAAAGCTGGACGACGTAGGGATGCTTCACAAGCTTCATAGTGGAAATTTCTCTTTTGATCTGCTCAACCATCCTATGCTTAAGAATTTTTTCTTTGTCCAGGATTTTAATGGCCACGAGCGCTCCGGTGTCCAAGTGCTTAGCAACTTTAACTTTGGCAAAAGTACCCTCACCAAGGGTCTTGCCAAGGTCGTATTTTCCAACTCGCGTGCGTTCAGCGGTGGAAGTCATGGTCACTTAAGTTTTCTGTGATCGAATCTACTGAATTTTCAAACTTCTTGAAATTGTTCTGGCTTCGAGCGCTCTTTCTTACTCTGAAATTTCACAAAAAGAATCTGCATGGACAATGTTGAAATAAATACCGTGGACTTGAAAGGACAATCCATTTTTCCGCACGAAGCGGAAGACAGTATTCGACATCAGAGGGCAAACATTTCAAATTAAGAAATTTAAGGAAAAAACTCTCTAGAGGCGCGAATACTGTGTCAATCCCCAACTAGGCAAATGCATGCAGTCATTGCTACAATTGGGTGAATAAAAAGAAGCTTACAATTTAAAAATCAAATTAAAAAAAAAAGATTTCGAGAGTCTCTAAGGGGCTCTCAAAGAGTGCTAATATTAAAGTCCACAATTTTTGAAGAATGTAAAGTAACATCCTGACAGCTAAGTTGACACAACACCTCTCGTGATTCAGGCTGAAAAAACACAAAAACACCGGAACAGCTCTACACCAACTGAAAAATGTGCCTACAAAGGAAAGCATTATGAGAAGGAGTCCAAGTGTATTCGAATACTATGACTCACAAAGAAACTAACATTCCATTATTGCTGGTTGGCTTGGCCGTCAGCATGACAACAGCAGATCCTCGACATACTCTCTCCTGGCTAAAAAAATCTGTAGCGCGTTTCGCCTTCTCGCAGAGTCGTTGAAAGGCAGGTAAAGAAATGGCAGAGACAAACCTTGACCTGCCAAACTTCGCATGCTGCCAGGTAGCCTCGTCCGCATCCTGCAACCAAACTCATATCCAGTTTCACCACAACTTCTACCCTTTCATAACTCCATCCTAAAAACTCACACAGGCCCGACCTTCATCTGACCTCGACCCGACACCGATCCCGTTCCTCTAAAAAAAACAAAAAAAAAAACAGAAAAAAAAAAAAAAAAAAACAAAACAAAACAAAACAAAAAACAAAACAAAACAAGACAAAACACAACACGAAGAGTCTCAAATGCACTCCGAACAAAACTCAAATGCGACTCTCAAAGCTCCCCGCAACTCTTAGCTCTCCTCTCTCAGCATGCGCGACGAGGTGAGGCAGCACCAGACTCTGCAAAACTGAACTCCTCCCCTGCAGTACTGGACCAGAATTCAACAACTGCAGAATATATATTTCGCCACGAGACGCATCGATAGAGCAACTGCAATTTGAGAAGATTTCCAACACACGCTGCATCTCTTCGAAATCACCGGCTCCTCAAAAGACCACGACGGAGAGAGAGAGCGTGAGTGGGTGAGTGTGTGTGAAAGAGTTCGCTTTCCGTAAGCACCTCCCAACACTTCCATCGTTCATTTAATGATACCCGGATATGAGATCGGGGAAACTCGTACCTTACGATCGTGGCGGGCATCAACACCGCCACCTGTTGATCCATTCACGAAAAAACCAAAAGGTCCCCTTCATTTTTGTGGTGGATGTTGTTGGACAGCTTTGGAGTAGCAATCAATATGATAGTGATATACAACAGAAGAGCCTCTCTGGATAGTAGTGGCCTTGGGGTTTGACCCACCAACTCCCATCTCAGTCCCCCAGATGCCTTCCTTGCTTGGCAATGGTAAGGTAATAGGAAGGCGGGCCCCATCTCCACTGCCACTCCCCACCCTTGGTTGCGTTCCCATTGGTGCAAACTCTGGCGTTCACAATGTGGGTTGTTGCATGTGGCCTTCACCTTTTGTCACTCCAGAAAGCATCTCCGGTTGAGCTTCGGGATTGCAATGTGGCAAGGTCCCATTTCAGAGTGTTGTGGGCAAAATGTTGTAGGGTTAGTCGGGTGGGTCCAAGGGGGAGCTTCCATTGTCCAGTTGGAACTGGGATTTGGATGGGAACTTGTGGGAACGGATGGATGTGTCAATGTTCCTACTCCAGGTCTGCGTTTCATCCTCATCCTGTGTATTGATTCTGAATTTGATTTGGGATGTTGCTGATGTCACCACAGTTTCTGGTATTGCCACAACTCGCCATTTACCACATCCTTATTTAATATTAATTTTTTAAATAAATATGTTTCATTAATTATGTAAATATTCACATACACACATAGTGGTATCTCACATAATTTATATATCTTAACTATTATTTTTTGCATAATTGATAATATTTGTTGGCACTGAGTTTGTTCATAGGTTGTAAACTTATAACCTTGCTTTTTGCATAATCAATAATTAATCAATAAATAAATTATAAACCATAAATTAAGTGAGAAATTAAAGGAGAAATTTTGTAATTTTAGCATTGATTCTTTCTATAACAAATAGATGAATGTAGATTTGATAAGAATATAGATGATTTTTTTGTGCATTTAGAATTTTAGATTTATTGTTTTTATACTCTTTTAGACATTGCCTTATTGCAAAGGCCATGCTTACATTTTTTTTTTTTTTTTTTGTCTCCATACTCTTATATTTGTTGTTTTTGAAATTGCTACATCTCTTGGATCCAACCATTTTAACTCCTTTGTGTCAAACTAGGAAAAATGAGTAGAGGTTTTTGTAGGTGTATGAAGAAAAAATTAATGAGTTGATAAACTATGCAATATAAAAGACAATATGAAGTTTCAAGTTTCAAAAGCGTCAATACTTATTGTAATCCACAACAACTTTGCAAAGTTTTAGAATCTTATATATGCCAATTGTGTTAATAGGAATATTCATAAGATCAAAAAATATTTTTTGGAGCTGACAAAAGTACACAAGATGTTGATTCTATATAGATAAGAAGATCATGTACCAAATAGTCAATATAAATAATACAATTAATTTAAATTTATTATTATTATTATTATTATTATATATCAATTCTATAATTGATCATAGCATCTATAAAATATGTCAATACTAGAATAATATGAAATAATGATATTTTTTAAGAAAAGTATGTAATTTATATTTTATGATATCTCTAATAAGAACTATATTTAAAAAATATTAAGTTTCTATAATAATCTAGATACCATAAAAAATTTAAGAAATAAATTAAATAAGAAAATATAAATTGTTAAGAACATGAAAAACAATAAAATTATAAAAATAAAAACATATTCTTATTGAAACATGACTAGACTATCTTAAAACCCAAGATCCTTCCATTCCATAATAATATAAAGCCTCCTCACAAAATAGGATAAAATGAACCAAAAAAAAACTGAACGGAATTAAACAAAATAGGACATGAAAAACAAAATTGAGCAAATTGAAACAAAATAGAACAAATTTCAACAGAAAGATGCAAAACCAAACTTTATTAAGAGAAAGGGTCTGAAGCCATGCCTGACCAAATGTCCCAAAAGGCCATGGCCAGTCTTATTTATACCTTGTCATACTACCTTAGACTTTCTAGAATGTTCTTAGGTAGTAGGCCCTACCTAAATAACCGCCTTAAACTCATTTTCTAAAAAGTTTTATGATAGGCCCACCTAGATAACTGCCTTAAGCTTTCTTTTAGAAGGTTCTATGATACGTTCCACCTAAATGACCACCCCAAATCCTTTTTAGAATGTTCTGTGATGGATTCTACTTAGTCTACTAATCTAATCTCAATTCTAGAAACTTCCATGGTTCTAATTATCTATATAATTATCTTATCTATACCTTATGATAGTTAATCTCCCTTCACTAATGTGAAACGTCCTTGTTTTGCTTCCGATGGTATCTCAGAATTGTCTCTTGATAATGGGTGAGATTTTGTGCAAGTTCTTACATTGCATCATGAATGAAATAACCTTTAGGAAGAATTTTGTACTAAAGCTGTAGATTTCCATTGCCATGACAAAAGTAGCAATGCTCCAAAACACTATTCTCTTCATATTCTTATTAGTCATCAATTACAACTGGTGGTGGTAGTAGTTGGTGTCGATCCAAAAAGCACTTTGGCTCAGTATGAAATTCCTTTAGTTACAAAATATGGAAGATTAGATAAACCCGAATATGTAGTGGAAGCTCGAGATAATATGTGACATTAGATATCACTACAGAAATGTGGAAAGTTTCAAGCCATCTAGGTATTAGATTATGGATTTGGATTGATGTAGCAAGTGACAAGTTGGTGTTGGAAATTAATACCTGATTACTCTTTCAAAAAGTCTTGTATTGTTGATGATTATCTACATATTACTTTTGTCAATTTTGAGTAGTAAAGAGGTGATGCCATGCTTCTTGTAAGGCCATTATAAGTTCTTGTATAAATTTCTTTGCTGTCAAATTATTGGTGTCAATGGGATGATGGAGAGTTGCTTGCATAATCAGATACTGACTGGTATTAAGGAAAAATTGTGAATGATAGATATTTCTTTGAATACTATCATTGTAATCAAACTCTAAGGATGTCAAGTATTCATCTCAATCATTATGATGATCCGCCACAAATATCCACATCATATCTTCCAAGGTCCAATTTGCATGCTTTGTTTGTTTTTTTGTTTGACAATGGAAGGTTATAGACATGATAAGTTGTGTGCCTAGTAGCTTGAATAAGGCTTGCCAAAAACTTCCCGTGAAGGATAGATCTTGATTTGAAATAATGATATGATGTAATCCATGGTGACAAAAGTTGGTATTAAAGAAGACTTGTGCAAGCATTAGGACATCAATATTCGAGCGCACCACAGCCAAATGAAATTGCTTCCAAAATCAATTCACAAAGATGGCAACCGTGGTATGATTATGAGGCGTTTGTAGCAAATACGTAATTAGATCCATAGTCATGTGCTCTCAATATGTCATGGATAGCAGAATTGACTACAATAGTCCAAGAGACGCTGCGTTACATGCTTTGTTACGTTGACATGACTCGTATGAGTATAAAGATTCAAACATCATAATCTAAACCAGCCCAAAACCATGTCCTTGAGATCCATTCTAAGATCTTCTCTCATCTTAGATGTCCACATATTAGAATGTCATGTTTCTCTTGAAGTATACGCATCTAGAGTTTAGTATTGTTGGATATATAAATTTATTTTTTAAAATAGAGCAAGCCTTCATTAAGAGTATAATCTTAATATTATATATTGCCTACCTTCAATTGATCGCTAATCATCTTGAAATAAGCATCCTGTTATGTAGCTTCCTTCTATTCTCTCTCTTTGGTTATATTTGAAAAGATACTACTAATAATAATAACTTCTGTCTTATCTTCTAATTTTTTCTTTAAGTTTGATCTCTATGATAAATTATCTGGCATAGTATGTTATCGCCCTTGCTTATACTCAAGCTAGATATAAAAAAGCTGCAATTATTCTTTCTAACGATGATCCCACAATTTCATATTTTCTAGATACAAATCATGAAGCAAGGATTGATGGTCAGTCTGAATAACCATTGGTTTTTCCAATAGATAGTGTCGCCACACCTTTGTGGCATGTACAATTGCTAATTGCTCTCGATTACATGTAATGTAATTGAGCTATGCCCTTCTGAGCTTGCATGATTCATATGCCATAGATTAAAGGCTCCTACCAAAGTCTTATTGATGGACTGCTCCAATAATAAAGTCGAAAGCATTAATGACAAGTTTACAAGGGAGATTAGGATCATACGATTGTAATATTAGAGTAGTAATGAATGCCTCCTTCAAATTATCAAAGACATTTTGTTGCTTCAGTTTCCATTCAAATAGGGCACCTTTCTCCAATAGGTTTATCAATGAGGTAGCAATGTGAGCAAATCGTAAAACAAAATGGCGATAGTATCCAACAAGGCCTGAAAATGAGCAAATTTTAGAAGCATCCTTAGGAGTTGGCCAATCTTTTATTATTTTTATCTTATCTTGCTTCATATGCATACCTTCAAAGGACACCACATGCTCCAAAAAGGTGACTTTTGACTTCCAAAGTTTATATTTTGATTGCTTGTAATAAAAGCAACTATCTTGTAATCGATGCAGTACCTCTTGTAGGTGTTGTCCATGCTCTTTAGAGATTTTATTATATACAAGAATATAATCAATGAAGAAGACTACATACTTATTCAAAAGATCTAGAAAAAAAAACTTTTTATGTGACTATGAAAGAGGTTGGAGTATTGGTGAAGCCAAATGATAAAATCAGCCATTTAAATTATCCATAGCGTGTATAAAATGTCGTCTTTTTTATATCCTCTCTTGCAATAGGTGTTTGTCAATATCTACTTCAAAGATCTAATTAACTAAAGATAGTCACACCTCAAAGTTTGTCAAAAAGATCATCCACACGTGGAAGTAGATATGCATTTTTAATAGTCTGCTTATTTAAACCTCAATAGTCTATGCAAAGGCAAAGTCCGCCATCTTTCTT